CCTGGTTCGCCCTGGCTGTTTGGCTCAGTGGACAGAGTGTTGGCCTGTGGACTTAAGAGTCCTAGGTTCATTCCGGTCAAGGGCACATGCCAGGTTGAGAGCTCAATCCCCAGTAGGGGGCGTGCAGAAGGCAGCCAATCCATGATTCTCTCTCATCATTGATGTTTCTATCTCTATCCCTATCCCTTCCTCTCTGAAATCAATAATAAAAATTTTTTTTTTTTTTAAAAAAAGGCCCTTGCCGAAACCGGTTTAGCTCAGTGGATAGAGCGTCGGCCTGCGGACTGGAAGGTCCCAGGTTCGATTCCGGTCAAGGGCATGTACCTAGGTTGCGGGCACATCCCCAGTAGGAGATGTGCAGGAGGCGGCTGATCAATGTTTCTCTCTCATCGATGTTTCTGACTATCTCTCTCCCTTTCTCTCTGTAAAAAATCAATAAAATATATATTTAAAATAAATAAATAAATAAATAAATAAATAAAGGCCCTGGTTCAGGGCCTTTGCACTTGCTGTCCACACTGCTTAGGGTGCCTTTCCCCCATTTATTGCATGACTCATTCCCTCATCCTCAAACCTGTGCTCTAATGTCACCATTTCAGTGAAGTCTTTAAAAAAAAAAAGGTTTTATTAATTTTAGAGAGATGGGAAGGGAGAGGATAAAGAGATGGAAAAAATCAATGATGAGAGAGAATCATTGGTTGGCTGCCTCCTGCTGGGGATCAAGCCCATAACCCAGGCATGTGCCCTGACAGGGAATCAAACTGGTGACCTCTTGGTTCATGGGTCTACACTCAACCACTGAGCCACCCTGGCTAGGCCAGTAAAGCCTTTTTTTGACCACTCTATCTAAACTCATAAGCCCTCTCCATACTTCCTAATCCCCTTCCCTGCTTTAATTTTATACTTTTATCCTTAGCAATTATCACTGTGCCATACTGAATCATTTACTAATTTATGTATGTATTGTCTGCCTCCCCCAGCTAGAAAGCAAGCTCTAAGATGGCAAGGATTTTTGAGTGTTGTGTTCATGATGTGTCTCTAGTGCACAGAAGAGTGGTGCCTGGCACATAGTAAGAGCTTAATACATATTTACTGAATGAATGAATGAATGCAAGAATCTAGGACAAGGGGATCCAAGTGATCCCAAACCTCCAATCAGACGACTGCTCCTCCATGGGCCACTTGGCACCCTGTCTTCCCTCTCACCTGGGCCTCACTCAGCCCCAGCTCGATGTTTTCCATGGAACGGCGCAGCTGCCGAGCCTTCTCATGCATCACCAGTCCTTCTTCATGGCCTCCCTGCTGCAGACACTCAATGGTATGGGACAGGCTTTGCAGTACAGCCTGGTGTTCACTGTGCAGGGCCTCCAGCCCTTGGCTCACCAGCCGAGTGCTGCCCAGGATCTCCTCCTGGCTGAGCCGGTGCCCTGCAGGTTCATCTCGCTGCCCCAACACCAGGCCCGACATCCTGGCCTGGAGGACCCTGCCTGGGCTGGGAAAACAACAGAGCTCCAGTGAGGTGAAAATAAGAAAGGGAGCTGAGCACCTTGGTTCGAGGGTGGTGAGGATCCAAGTTAAGAGAGGAGAGAGGGTACGGGCAACCGTGTGTTTTAATTGGAGAGAGACCGTGACCAGTGGGGAGGGAACCTACGGCACTAAAAACACAAAGCTTAAGGTTGTGGGAAAGAAAGAGGGAGAGGAAATGACTTAAACCGAGAGAGAGAGAGAGAGAGAGAGAGAGAGAGAGAGAGAACCAAAGGTCCTGATAACTAGCAGAGGGATTTAGAACTTAGGACCAACACAGAAAAGGAACTGGAGAGAGAGCTTGGGTTAGGAAAAGGCAGCACGAGTCGAAAGACAGCACTAAAGGAGCACAGGGCGTTTGGGGAGAGTTGCAAAGGGAACAGGGTTAAAGCAGACAGGAGACTTTGCAGGAAATAGTGCCGAGTTTGGGGGAAAGGGAAGGGTACGTTTCAAAGGAAGAAAACAGGAGCCTTCATCGCAGGACCCAGATGCGAGGGCCCCAGCAGGCTCCAGGGCTTCAGGCTGCAGCATCTGCAGACCTAGTCAGCCCTAACTCTTTCCCCACGAGTTTCCAAGCCATATTCCCCACCCTCCAGGCTTCAGGCTATCTTCTTCTGTCCTCGAAAGGGCCTCTCATCTTTGCAGTCCTCTTACCTGTTTCCCGAGCACAACCCGTGGCTGGGGCGCTCAGGCCGGAGCCCGGAAGACACTCGGATCGGCAGCCAGGGACTCGGAAGGACCTGCCCTGCCCAAAGTCCAGGAGTCCAGCGTTTCACCCCTTCTCTCGCCACTTCACAGCCACCCAGAGGACCTGGCACGGAGCCCCACCCAGGACAAACACCCTCCCTCCTGCTGCAAGGCGGCCGGTGTCCCTCCTCCTTCCCCAGCCCGGGGAGCTGTCCTCCCCAAGGAGGGAGCGAGCCCTGATCCGGGGACCTGGCCCGCGAGAAGAGGCGCGTCTGGTTAAGACAGTGGTTCTCAACCTTGGCTGCACGTTAGAATCACCTGCTAACCGGCTCGGAGAGTCGCCTAAGGGGCCTCCCAGCGCCTGACGGTGCGGGGAACGGTGCCGGGGCTGCTGGGCCACAGGGAACGTGGCGCTGGGAGGGGGACTCCCGGCGTTGGCAGGCGGTGGAGGGCCCCGGGCCGCCCACCTGCCCTGGGCCCAGAATGGGGAGAGTGAGATGGGCGGGGGTGGCGGGGGAGGTGCAGGTGGACGATCGAGGTCTGCGTCGCGGGAGAGGACTCAGCGGCCCAACAATCCCGAGGTCAATGAGTCAGTTGGTAGCGCAGGGGGCGGGGCGGGACGACTGCCTGCCTGCCTGCCTGTCTGTCTGTCTGGACACTGAGGGGCGGGAAGAAGCGCAGGGGGCGGAGTTTTTTAGTCTGTCTGGAGTTGAGCGAGGTCAGTCGGCGGGGTGTGTTATCTGTCCGAGAGTGCGGGAATAAGAGGTAGCGGGACCTCAACCCTCCGCCCCAGAGTTACTCTCAAAGACTCACCCGCGCGGTGTCGATCTGGCTGCCTCCCTGGCCGGTACTGCCCCTTTAAATCCATCATGGCTGCCGCTCGAGGCAATTGTTTTGACGGCTCAGAGGGGCGGGGCCTGCTCCCCAGTCACGCGACCTAAGAGCCGCCCGAGGATTGGCTCTGACCACGCGCACGCAAGAACGGAGGTGTGTACACAGCGTGCTCGCCGGGTCCCCTTCCGCCCCTTTACGTCATGAGGGAGCGACGGCCCAGGGGATCTTTAGCGTCATCTCGGAGCGCCAGCCGCCGGGCTAGAGGTATTGGTGGCGTGCTGAGCCCGGCGGTGCCTGGCTACACTCATGGCTCTGCGGGTACTGACCCGTGCTCTGGGCTCTCTGAGTCTGGCGCCCCCGGCTGCCGCCGCCCCCGGCCCGAGTGTGCTCCCGACCGCCCAGGTAACCCAGCTTACCCGGGAATGAGGCTGTTTCCGCTCGGGCCGCCGGAAAGGGGACACCCGGGGGTGGGAGGCGGGGATGCGAGACTGGTCGTTAGTCACGCCGGCCCGTGACCTTGGATAAGTCACTCTAATCCTCAGTTTTCTCCTCTGTAAGTGTTGCTATCTCACAGGGCCGCTGGATTCCTCGGACGAGATATTGGAGGTGAAAGTACTTTATGAATAACCGGTTGTACAAGTCTCAGTAGTAATTGACATTTATTGAGTGCCCAGCATAAGCTAGGCATAAGTAATAGAGGTTTTAAATAAGTGAACTCTTTCAAATCACTCTGTAAGGTCGTTATACCTCATGTTATCATGAGAGAAAACTGGTGAGTAGTTTAAGGTCATACACCAACTATTTGAGCTAGTCCGACTGGCTTCAAAGCCTGAGATTATGCAATGGTTATGATATCATAACCATTATAAAAACCATTAAGGATGAGATTAGTGAATGCAGAGTGAGATACCAAGAACAGGAGCCTAAGGTTCCTAGTGGGCAATTGATGAGTCACAGAAAAGAAAAGTTGAAAGTCTTGCTCTGTCTGGACCTTGGGCTGATGGTAGAGTTCGGCAGATGCATACCTTTTTTTAAAAAGACATGTTTTTGTTGATTTTTAGATAGAGAGGAAGGGAGGAGAGAGCGATAGAAACATCAATGAGAGATTCATCGATCAGCTGCCTCCTGCACGCCCACTACTAGGGATGGAGCCCGTAACCCGGGCATGTGCCCCTAATTGGGAATTGAATCCGGGGCCTCTTGGTCCATGGAATGACGCTCAGTCCACTGAGCTATACCAGCTGGGAAGCAGATGCATACTTAAAATTCAAAACCTACTCTGTGAAATTCTGGAAATACAAGAGGGAACAAGGCAGAAATGATCCCGACCTTCCATTTGTATCTGAAAAACTCCCAGAAACATAGTGCACATGGGCAAAAGGCATTGGTGCTGATGGTGGTACATGGATGTGTGGAAGTTCCCAGCTCTGGAAAAGGGAGTTGTTTAGGGAAGGAAAAGTTTCCTGGAGAAGGAGAATTGAGCCAGAATTAGGAGACGCACCAAGGGGAGAACATTTCATTACAGAAACACTTCAAAGGTACAAGGATCAAGTGAGGAGAGGTAATCCACGTGCATACACCTGGATAAACATTCCACACTGTTCCATGTACAAGCTGTGAAGGGTAGAGTTTTTAGACAGCTGATCTGGGACACTTCCAGTAGGAGGTGGGCTACAAGCTGAACTTGATGGTCACTCTGCCCTCTCGGTTCTCTGATGCTTCTTCAGTTAGCTTTCAGGTGAAAGAGGTTTATGTTTGTCTCCAGGCGACAAGCAATGCTCTCCAGCTGCCCTCTGCCTCGATGTTGCTCCCCTGCCGCCCGTTCCTTACCTCTGTGGCCCTGAGTGCCAAGTTTGTGTCCTGGAAAAGTCGTACCACGTATACCGTTGCACCACAGAAAATGAGGAAATCTGGAGGCCGAGACCACACAGGTGGGAGCAAGGGCAAGAGAATTTAAACAATAAAGGGAAAAAACATGGTAGGACTCTAGTTCTGTATGTTGGTATAGGCAGAGGGATATAATTAAAACACACTTATTGGCTTTCTTCTACATACAGGATGAGTAGAATACAAAGCAACAGGCAGGTGGTCTGTGCACCTAATGACAATCTAAATAATTGAAGAAAACTGGGCATACGCAGCAAGTTTCATGACATTTTTCTCCACATCCTTCAAAAAATTGATAACAGTTGAAATTGGTATGGCCCTCAATAAACTTACTGAATTTAGTAGTTTACAGAGAATTTATCTGGAAGTTTGATACAATTTTAATAATCATATCATTATGTTTTTACCAAGGTCCATGTGTTTCCCCATCCCCATTTATCCCACTGTGCTGTGAAATTTTTTATAATTTTCTGCTTGACTCATAATGTTTAGAAACACTGCTCTCTGCCCAGGACAGGCCTGTTATTCTGACGTGGATTATGTCCCCTCACTGTCCTGACATAGGCCGAATCCGAGTGCATGGTATCGGTGGGGGTCACAAGCAACGTTATCGCATGATTGACTTTCTTCGGTTCCGGCCGGAGCAGGACACCAAGCCGGGACCCTTTGAGGAGAAGGTCATCCTCGTCCGCTATGACCCCTGTAGGCAAGTTTGGGATGTGGGGTGATGATGGCATGACTGAATGACTACTCTATGGCTTTTCAGAAATGTGGGGCTGCCTAGATGGTCTGCTCACCTGTCACTCACCCCGAACAGGTCAGCAGACATAGCTCTGGTGGCTGGGGGCAACCGGAAACGCTGGATCGTTGCCACGGAAAACATGCAGGCTGGAGATATAATCCTTAATTCTGACCACATAGGCCGCATGGCAGGTGAGAGGTGGCCACCGGATGTGTGTGGGCTGGGAGGCTCACTCTGTTGCTGATGAAATTCTGTCTTTTAGTTGCTCCTCGAGAAGGGGATGCACATCCTCTTGGGGCCTTGCCAGTGGGGACCCTCATCAACAGTGTGGAGAGCGAGCCAGGCCGGGGGGCCCAGTATATCCGAGCCGCAGGTATGAAGAAAGAAGCTGCTGGGGGGGGTGGGGGGACGGGTCTTACAATTTGGAAGGCCAGGTGGTACCCAAGGTCACAATTCTCTGAACCAGAGACCCACATCTGGTCCATTGGCAGAGGAAAAGAAGAAAAAACAGGAAAAGGAGGATGAAGAAGTGCTTATGTTTTCACCTAAAACATTGCATGCATCCTGCTCCAGTTTATATGCTCCTGAAGGGGTGTGGCCCCTGTAAGTCTGTCCCCCGCCTCCTCCTCTGTGGAGGGTGGCAAAGCTGCTTCTCCCTCCCCAGGGACGTGCGGTGTGCTGCTACGGAAGGTGAATGGGACAGCCATCATCCAGCTGCCTTCTAAGAGGCAGATGCAGGTGTGTGGGTACCGGTGGGAGGGATCAGCAACGGAGGAATGGACCTTTCCTGGCCCACATAGCTCCCAGGTGTTTTATGTCAGGAGCTTCCCTGAGCTGGGGCTGTCCTTTTGGGCTGCAAGAGGGACTGTCCAGTCAGGCTGGCCCCACGATGGAACAGAGGACAGTGTCTTGTTTTCAGCTCCTGTAGGACCTGCACTCAGGTTCCGTTATGCTGTGCTTCTCCCCGTCCTCTCCCTTCCTAGAGTCCTGTCCTCAGCATGGTCAGACTCCCCCCACCATACGATCTCTCCCTCTGCTTTCTCTGTCAGGTGCTGGAAACGTGCATAGCAACAGTAGGCCGAGTATCCAACGTTGATCATAACAAACGGGTCATTGGCAAGGCAGGGCGGAACCGCTGGCTGGGCAAGAGGCCCAACAGCGGGCGATGGCAACGCAAGGGGGGCTGGGCTGGCAGAAAGATTCGGCCACTACCCCCAATGAAGAGTTACGTGAAGCTGCCCTCAGCGGCTGCCCAAAGCTGATACCTCTGGACTCTAATAAAATGACCCCCCATTTTTATCTGTTATTGGTGTTTTGGGAGGGGAGATGGTACATATTGGACGGGAGGAAAGACAGAGCAAACGTGTCCGGGGGAGAAAGGGAGAGACAATAGAGGGCAAAGACTGGCTGCAACCTGCAACCTCCTCGCTTCCAGCCGTCCCCCTCCTCTCGGTTCCTTCATAGGTCATGGAGGAGGGGGTAATAAATGACCTCCAAGGTCTTACTCAGTTATGGCTTGGGGAAAGAGGGAAGGCACTTCCGGTGGGAGGACACAAGGAAGAGGAAAGGGCGGCACGTTGTTGAGGTGGCAACCCCGGCTCCGCCCCCGCTCCCAGGGCCCCTCGCTTTCCGCTGGGCCAGGAAATGAGCCGAGGCTCCGGGCAGGTGGCAGCCCCCAGAGCTGGGCGGTGGCACCGCGGCTGGGCCCCGCCCCGCCCCGCCCCTGGGGCTGCAGACCTGCGCGCTGGCAGCGGTGACAGCACCGCGGGGAGGTCCCTGCTCGCCACGCCCCCTGCCTGACGCTGTCCTGCGGGGCACGCCCCCTCCCGCCTCCCCATCTCGACCCCCTTTGGGGGCCCAAATCTTTGCCAGCCAACGGCGCCGGCGCCGCCATCGCCATCGCCTGCGTGGCCCCAGCTCAGCGAAGAACAGGCCTCACCAGGATCTCCATCTGCTGCCGAGGTGGCCAGAGCCCCGCCGCGGCCCGCGGCCCCGCGCCCCTCCCAGGGTTTGCCTCCGCCACTAGCCCACCGAGCCCTGCTCTCCATACCGACCCGGGGTTCTGGTTTACGCTGCCCAGCCACCCACCCACTGTCGCGCTCCCACCTCCCAGCTCCTCCCGCTGCTCAGGTCTGCCACCCCGGTCCTCCCAAGCCTCCCCCCCTCACGCACCCGGCCTCCCCCCCACTTTGTCCTGGGCCTCGTGTTGCCCCCACCGGCCTGGCTGCTCCTGTGCCTCCAGTGCCCGCAGTCATCGTGCCTGCAGCCCACCAGTCCTCCTCCCAGCCCTCAGCGTTGCCCCTACCCCACCACCAGTTCTCTTTCCTCTGCGACTCACACCTGTGCTTCAAGCATCGGAGCCAGCACTGCTTCTCAGACACACTCCTCAACACAACCCTCTGGGCAGCACATACCCCTTTCCCAGGGCTGCCTCCACCTGTCCCAGGACCTAGGATTCCCTTGTGACTCTAGGCTGCCCAGCCCCCACTCCCCTTCCCAATGCGCTAAACCAACCCACTCCAGGCTGCAGGGCCTTAGGCCCCCTCCCTCTTAGCCCCCACGTTTTGTGTTCTCTCGCAGCAAACACCCCAGTGTTCCTCTGCTCAAGCCGGGCCCCGCCGGCCTGCAGCAGGCAACTCCTGGGCCCCGCTTTCCCCACCCGCCCAACAGCTGGTGCCCCATTTGCTTCCCTTCTCCTGGGTGTCCTTGACTTTCCAACCTCTCTTCTCAGTCCTTGCCTGTTCTCTTTCCCTTGTTTGTCCCAGGTGCCAGCATGGTGGGGGAGCTCCGCTACAGGGAATTCAGAGTGCCCCTGGGGCCCGGCTTGCATGCCTACCCCGATGAGCTGATCCGCCAGCGATGGGGCCACAATGGGCATCCAGAGTACCAGATCCGCTGGCTCGTCCTCCGGCGTGGGGAGGACGGGGAAGGGGGCTCTAGTCAAGTGGACTGCAAGGCTGAGCACATCCTGCTATGGATGTCCAGTGACGAGATCTACGCCAACTGCCACAAGATGCTGGGCGAGGACGGCCAAGTGATCTGGCCTTCCCAGGAGACTGCCGGGGAGGCTGGGGCCCTGGACAAGTCTGTGCTGGAGGAGATGGAAACGGATGTGAAGTCCCTGATTCAGAGGGCCCTGCGGCAGCTGGAGGAGTGTGTGGGCACCATGCCTCCTGCTCCTCTGCTTCACACTGTCCATGTGCTCAGTGCCTATGCCAGCATCGAGCCCCTCACTGGGGTCTTCAAAGACCCGAGGGTGCTGGATTTGCTCATGCACATGTTGAGTAGCCCAGATTATCAGATTCGCTGGAGCGCCGGCCGGATGATACAAGCCCTGGCCTCCCATGATGCTGGTGAGGAGCAGTGTGGGGAGGAAGGGAGAGCGGGAGAGCGGCTGGGCCGGCTTAGGGCCTTACAGGAGCCTCTGACCTCATCAATACATAAATGATCTGTTGCACTTCTCTCATAATTGGAAGAAAAGGAGGTGGGGTGGTAGGTAGGGGCACCTCTACAGAAAGAGGAAAGACTGAGTCCCCAAGAACCTCATATTCATTGGCTGTCTAGGCAAAGGAAGTTTAGACTTTAGACTCTTGCAA